GGGACGAAATGCGGACAAGAGAAGCCAGGTGCGCTCGCGCCCTGTCCGACATCCTACCCCTCCCACCAACCCTTCCCACGGCGCTGATGGGTTCTCGATCCGCCGACTAGTGCCATAGTGGACCTGGAACCTCCAAAAGGTCGCCATCGTGTCATGTGCAATCAGAAAAGGATAGCTATGTACATTGGAGGGAGGAGGTGGAGGAGGAGGAGGAGGAGGAGGAGGAGGAGGAGGAGGAGGAGGAGGTGGGTGGAGGAGGAGGAGAGAGGTTTGAGGTGCCAGAGGAGGAAGGGGAAGGAGAAGAAGAAGATAGGGGGGGAGGAGGAGGAGGGGAGGAGGAGGAGAGGAGGAGGAGGAGGAGGAGGAGGAGGAGGAGGAGGAGGAGGCGAAAATATGTGGAGGAGGAGGGGAATGGAGGGGAGGTTCAGGGAGGAGGGGAGAGATGGGGACGAAATGCGGAATGTCCGACATCCTACCCCTCCCACCAACTCTTCCCACGGCGCTGATGGTTTGTCGATCCGCCGACTAGTGCCATAGTGGACCTGGAACCTCCAAAAGGTCACCATCGTGTCATGTGCAATCAGAAAAGGATAGCTATGTACATTGGAGGGAGGAGGTGGAGGAGGAGGAGGATGTGGGTGGAGGAGGAGGAGGTGGAGGTGCAGGAGGAGGAGGGGAAGGAGAAGATAGGGGAGGAGGAGGAGGAGGAGGAGGAGGAGGAGGATGATGATGAGGAGAGGAGGAGGAGGAGGAGGAGGAGAGGAGGAGGAGGAGAAAGATGATGGAGGAGGAGGGAAGGGAGGGGGAGGTTCAGGGAGGAGGGGAGAGATGGGGGCGAGATGCGGACAAGAGAAGCCAGGTGCGCTCGCGCCATGTCCGACATCCTACCCCCTCCCACCAACCCTTCCCACGGCGCTGATGGTTTCTCGATCCGCCGACTAGTGCCATAGTGGACCTGGAACCTCCAAAAGGTCACCATCGTGTCATGTGCAATCAGAAAAGGATAGCTATGTACATTGGAGGGAGGAGGTGGAGGAGGAGGAGGAGGAGGAGGAGGAGGAGGTGGAGGTTCAGGAGGAGGAGGGGAAGGAGAAATAGGGAGGAGGGAGGGAGGAGGAGGAGGAGGAGGGAGGAGGAGGAGGAGGAGGAGGAGGAGGAGGAGGAGGAGGAGGAGAAGGAGGAGGAGGAGGAGGAGGAGGGTGAACGAGCTGGGAAGAGCAGGGAGCCGCTGAGCTGGCGGGCCGGATGCTCCCCCGAGGCCTGCTTCGCGGCGGTGCTGGGCATACTGGTGGCCAGCGTCGCGTCCTCGTGCCCCCACCCCCCACCGGGGCTCCGCCGAGGGTCGCTCACTGTCCGTCGTCGTCGTCGTCGTCGTCGTCGTCGTCGTCGTCGTCGTCGTCGTCGTCGTCGTGGTAGTGGTGGTGGTGGTGGTGGTGGTCGTCGTCATCGTCGTTGTCATCGTCCTTGTCATCGTCGTCGTCGTCGGAGGAGGAAGAAGATGAGGAGGGAGAAAGGAGGATGGGGAGGAGGGATAAGGAGGAGCGGGGAGGGGAGAGGCTCGAGGGTCCAGGATCGAAGTTCGAGGATCGGGGTTCGAGGGTCCATGACCGAGGCTCGAGGATCTAGTATCGAGGCTGGAGGATCCATGGGCCCCTCTCCTTCCCCTTCCCGCCCCCCCAAACCCATGCTACCTTCTCCCTCCCACCGCCCCCGTCCTCGGTTCTTGACGTTTCGCGTACCCCCACCAGCCCATCCAAGAACAGACACCAGGCGAGTTGCCCTGATCAGGGATGTGTAGCAGGACGACGAAGACGACGAAGACAACGATGCTGACGACTAGGACTACGATTTGCGATTGCGACGAGGTGGCTACGGCTACGTGGGGGGGTCCATTCAGGGAGCGACGACAGGCACCTGCTCAACCAAAGCAGCCACGGGCTCCCTGTGCGTTTGATTGGCGCCCGCGTCGTTGCGTGTGTTTCGCGGCTCCTCGTGGTTATGCCGCTTGAGACTGCCGTTGCCTGCGGTGCCTGTATTACGTCGTGCGCGCCCATGGCCGCCGCCGCCGCCGACGACGACGACGACGGCGACGGCGGTCCTGGAGCCATCTTGGAGGCCATCGATCAATTGACCTCTTGGGGCCCTCTTGGGGCCCTCTCGGTCTAGGCCCGATAATTGACCTCTTGGGGCCCTCTTGGGCCGCTCTTGGACGGTCTTGGGTGCTCTCGGGGCCGCCCTTGGGCTCCTTTTGGGCTTATCTTTTGGCGCCATCTTGGAACCCTCTTGGCGCATCAAGAGCCTATCGGACGAGAAAACGACCACAGTTGTCTTGGAGGATTTTGACCTCCTGGGGGCCTCCTTGGGAGGCTCGGAGGGCACTTGGGGCCATCCTGGGGCGATTTTGCGGGCTCTTATACGCATTCTGACGGCTGTCTTGAACCATCTTGGGATATCTGGAGCGATCTTGGAGGCCATCTCGGACTCTCTGAGGCCCTCCTGGAGCCATCTGGGGCCACACGGGACCATCTGACACCTCGCGGGGGGGGTCCAGACTTAGGGGGAGGGGGTAGTGGGAGGGGCGCCCAGAGGGCTGGTGAGATTTCCTATTGATGAGTTCTACTCTCCTCTCTCCCCTGACAATAGCCAACCACTGGCCCCTTCCTGCCCCCCCCCTCATTCTTTCTCCCTGCATCCCTCCCGAGCGCTCCTGGAAGACGTCCTGAGGCAGCCAACTGAGATATCCTACATCCAGGGGCTCTTCCCCCTTCTCCTCTCTCTGTTTGCGTGCTCCAGGTTGAGTAAGGCATCAGGGGCGATGAGGACCCGAGAGTTCTGCAAGGTCTCATTGGGCGCTTGCAATTAAACTGTGATGTGCGCAACCCGAGGCCTTACCATTATCATGGGTCACCCTCTTGTCTCCTCGTCTCTTGCGGAAGCCATTTGCTCCAGAAGCAGCTCCCCAGACAGTCGGTCACTGCACCACAGCCTGCCCGAGGTGGCCGGGGTGCCGCAGCCGCGCCTCCAGCTGAGTCGAGGGGAGGAAACAATGAGGAGTGGTGGGAGTGGGATAAGAAATGGGTTAGAAAGGAACACGGAGGATAATTCCAGGGAGAATTCCAGAATGAATGACAATGTGAGTCATGAAGGGAAAAGCCAGACGAATTAGACGGCGAGCCTGGCAATCTCGGCCACGTGCTTAGGTGGGCCGTCCACATTAGGATACAGACCACGCTGGATTCGGGCTAGGTTCTGGGCACCCTTCGGGCAGGCGAGCACCTGCCAACGAGCTAACGTGAGTCCGAGATGGCCGTCTTGCCACAAACATAACAAAACGTGAGACCGTAACGGCCCCAACGCTGCAGTCGGTGGGACGCGTGCAGCAGTTTGCCAGCAACCATCTGTGGGCCGCTGAGGGGGGGAATGCCGAGGCCGACAGGGAAGGGGCGACAACCGGTGCAAGAAACACGGAGTAGTGGGAGGGGGTGGAGAAGGAGGTGACCAAGCGTGATCTTAGCCTTAGGCGCCCCGCAGTTTTTCGCCCTTGGGGCCCCGTAGGCCTCCTGAAGGGTGCTCGGGAGGCCCTCTTCGCCTCCCCCAGGGTCACGCTCGTTACCCGCCCCCCCCCCCCGACCCTGCCTGGGTACCACTAACGACCGTGCTGATGGGGGTGGCCTGGACCCCCCACGACATGCTGTGGTTCATGCGCCGGTGGCGCGCCGGGAAAGATACCAGAAGGGTCACATGGAGGTGGGGCAAGAGGGAGGGAGGAAGGAGGCGGCCGAGGCACGGAAGGGTGGAGGGTCCCGAATCGAATCTTCCAGCGCCCGAGTTGTGCAGGATTGCTGGATGAGGAGGAGGAGGAGGCGGAGGAGGAGGAGGAGGAGGAGGCGGAGCAGGAGGCGGAGGAGGCGGAGGAGGCGGAGCAGGAGGGGGAGGCGGAGGGGGAGGAGGAGGAGGAGGAGGAGGAGGAGGAGGAGGAGGAGGAGGAGGAGGAGGAGGAGGAGGAGTAGGAGGAGGAGGAGGGGCAGGCCAGAGCAGGCCCAGCACACCACGGATGCTGTGCTGCATCCTCCCAGGGCGGGGGCGCCGTGGGTCCGGACCCGGGCCGCCAGGGGGAGAGCGGAGACCGAGCCTGCGAGAGCGCACCTGTCCCGCGCGGCCGGCTCCCGTGCTGTCCCGTGCTGCACCGCGGCGGAGAGGGACCGGGAGCCTCTCGGGGCCCAGGGCTCTGCGGCAAGGCCCGCTCGGCACAGCCTCAGCGGCACCGTATCGGGCACTCACCCACGGGTGCTTTGGAAAGGTGCCGGAAGTGGCCATTTCAGGGCCTCTTTCTGGCATTGCAGCGTTGCCCACATCGGGGAGGGTTGGGTTCGCAGGATCACTGGCCCAAGTACCCGTCAGTGGAGTCCCCGTTAGAGGGGCGCTGACAGCCAAGGTCGCGACGCGCGCGCGGCCCGGATCGAAGGAGCAAAGTTGCAGAATCATTAATTTTCAGCGCTCCGAACGGATTTCTCGGCTCCGCGCTGGGGCTCCTCTGGCGGCGCCTCCGGCGCCGCCCCTGGCGCGCTCCGCGCGCCAGGGAGGAGGGGGGTCCAGCGCCGATCCAAGAAATCCGCGCGGAACTCCGAAAGCTTTTACGCAATCTTTTCCCTCTGCCAGAGGGTGGGTCTGACGTGGCCGCCTGCGCACTCCTCGTGGTGAAGATTCTCTACGCCTGAGACCTCCTGTCGCGTTCCTCTGCGGCCGCCCCCCTCTCGCCGTATTCGCCTTTGTGTGCTCCCAGTTCTGGCGCGGCCCGCCGGCCATCCGAACTCGGGCGTTGCGTAATGGGGGGCGATAGACGGGGGGGCGAAAAGATGCGCACTGTCAGTGCACCTCTGCATCCTGATGAGGCCCTCCAGGGCCCAAAAGGAGCACGAAAGACGCACGTTTCTTCGCCGCCCCACTTGTCGATACCCATTAAGCAACGCCCCGCGACCGCGTTGGCGCTCGCCCTCGCTTCGGGCGCCTTCCTGCGCGCCTCCGCCGCTCCCGCCGAGACCAGGTATTGGGTGCCCCAGTTCCGAGGGAGCTGCGACCGCATCAACCTCGGCGGGGGGGAAAGGGGCACGAGCGTGCCGCCGGCGTCTCCCTCCCGTGGCCCCGGCTCCTCCGTGCTCTTCTCCCCCCGCCCCCAACAGAGGCGAGGAGGAGGAGGAAGAGGAAAAGGGGGAAGGGGGAAGGGGGAAAAGCGGAAAGGGGGAGTGGGGAGATGAGGGAGGAGGAGGAGGAGGAGGAGGAGGAGGAGGAAGAAGAGGAGGAGGAAGAGGAATACGAGTAACAATGATATCATACTAGCAGACCGCGACGAATATATAATACCGACAAGACGAATTCGAACACTTTTAAGAATAGTGCCAAGACGAATCGTAAGACGAATGAGACTAATGCGAGTATAGCTAAGCCGATAATGCGAACACTAATACGTATACGAAAAATAACATTACGAGGGGAGGAGAAAGAGGATCAGGAGGAGTAGAAGTAGTAGTAGTAGTAGTAGTAGTAGTAGTAATAGTAGTAGTAGTAGGAGTAGTAGTAGTAGTAGTAGTAGTAGTAGTAGTAGTAGTAGTAGAAGTAGTAGAAGTAGTAGAAGTAGTAGTAGTAGTAGTAGTAGTAGTAGTAGTAGCAGTAGTAGTAGTAGTCGTAGTAGTAGTAGTAGTAGTAGTAGTAGTAGTAGTAGTAGTGGTAGTCGTCGTAGTAGAAGTA